ACCAATAAATGTGATTTTGTATTTTTATAACAAACTTCACTATCTCTGATTTCCTTTATCTGCATATATCCGATGAGGTGATTCTCCAGTTCGTTCATCATACTTCATATTACCCCAGAGAGGGTGAAAAGCCTTATTTCACGTGCGTTTGTGAGTGTATCTATATTCACCTATATTTATATAATTTTTCTTTTTTACTGTATCACGCTATGTTAGCATTTCGATTTTTACACAGAATTTACAATATGGATCATACCCTATATCAGGTTATTGTTTAATTCATATATTTACCTATACGTATTCTGGGTGTTTTTCCGCCTACTTTTGTTACTTTATATTGTCTCTTGGGTGTCTGTGAGGTACACCTGGGAATTCTTCCAGTTATACGTCCCCATTTCACATTTGTAGTGTATATACTATTTTTTTGCTTATAGTAGACATTGCACATAGAAGGCTTATCAATAAACTGCAATCTTTAAGTTTGGATTCCAATATTGTTGAATAGGTAAGGCAGTGGCTGAGTGACAGGCAACAGAGGGTTGTAGTCAATGGAGTATATTCAAAGCTTGGGCTTGTCACCAGTGGGGTACCTCAGGGATCTGCACTTGGACCCATTCTCTTTAATATTTTTATTAGTGATATTGCAGAAGGTCTTGATGGTAAGGTATGTCTTTTTGCTGATGATACTAAGATATGTAACAGGGTTGATGTTCTATACAAGTTTACTATACAAGTGAAACTACCAAACAATCAGACCACCCCAGGGATAAGTGTGCCTCTCATTACCATTTGCAACAATGTTGCAAACCCCTAATTGGCAATCGGTACTTTGTTCTATGGGTGGCCGCCATTCGGGATACGAACACGTGGCGGCGGCCATCTTAACTCCCGAACAGCAGTGTTTGGTCGTCGAGTGTCTGGAACCCAAATTGGACACTCGACTAAGCAAACACCGCTGAGACCTCCAGACTTCCATAGCTTTGTGCGGAAACAACCAAACGAGCCACCGTTCGGTAGAAAGACTCATCCGAACAAGGGGATTCACATGAAGGCAAGCAACAGCCATTTCATTCGGTATTTTCATCCATTTATACCCATGAACCAATACCGACCACAAGGCCAAAACTTATGGAACTATTTTCGGCTACTGTTACCTGTGTGGTCGGTCAAAACTTTACTCTTTCATAACTCCCATGGTCCGATCTAGGTGATTTTTAAATATGTTACTCACCCAGATCAGGGCTATCAGGTGACCCCCTATTTAGGAGTGTACCCCATGTTTTTGGGGTACATCCAGAAACTGGGGAAATACTGTACACGGATTAAGTGGATTATGTGTCATGCTGAGGGGAGGAGATGTGTGGGAGGTACCATGTATTTTATTGGTTACTGTATTCAGGGCCGCCATCAGGGCATGACAACCGCAACGGTTGTCATGGGCCCGGCGGTCCTGGGGGGCCCGGACTGCTCAGATCGTCCGGGCCCCAGATTCAGTGGGTACATACCGGGTCGCAGGGGTATGTACCCACAGGGCCAGCCTCTTCTCCTGGGGGGCCCAGCAGCCGGTCACCTCAGAGCCCCCCAGAGGCTGGCCCTGAAAGCCGGCCGGCGTGCGAGGGAGCATTCTCTGTGTTCTTCCTCTTCAGCTCCCTCGCGCGCCGCGTACTGATGCTGGAGCCGGAAGATGACGTCATCTTCCGGCTCCGGCATCAGTATGGTGCGCGAGGGAGCTGAAGAGGAAGCACACAGAGAGTGCTCCCTCCGCCCATCCGCCGCCGGGTGTCGGGGAATGAAATTTGAGGGAGGGGAAGGAATGAAATGAGGGGGGGAGGAATTAAATGGGGGAGGAATGAAATTTGAGGGAGGGAAGGAAATGAAATGGGGGGAGGAAATTAAATTTATGGGAGGGGAAAGAAATGAAATTTGAGGGTGGGGGGACAGGAATGAAATTCGAGGGGAGGGGACAGGAATTAAATTTGAGGGAGAGGAAGGAAATTTGGGGAGGGAGGGGAGAGGAATTAAATTTGAGGGAGGGGGGAGAGGAAGGAAATTTGAGGGAGGGAGAGGAAGGAAATTTGAGGGACGGGGGAGAGGAAGGAAATTTGAGGGACGGGGGGAGAGGAAGGAAATTTGAGGGACGGGGGAGAGGAAGGAAATTGGAGGGGAGAGGAAGGAAATTGGAGGGGGGAGAAGGAAATGAGAGGGAGGGGGAGAAGAAGGAAATTGGAGGGGGGAAGAAGGAAATTGGAGAGAGGGAGGGGGAGAAGAAGGAAATTGGAGGGAGAGGGGGGGAGAAGGAAATTGACGGGGGGAGGGGGAGAGATTGACATCCATCACACACAATGCACCCCTTGCACACAGAAAAACACACAATGCATTACACACAGACACACGTACACAAGCAATGCATCCCTTACACACAGCAACACACAATGCACCCCTTACACACACTCAATGCATCCCTTACAGACGCACACACTGCATCCCATACATACACAAACTCATCTTGCAGCCCTTACACATACAAACACAGATTCACACAATGCATTCCTTACACACATCAGGACATCCCCCCCACACACACTCCACTCCCTGTGAACAAACTCATTGGTGGAACATGAAGGTGGACCCTGGAACCCAGAATTTGAGCTGTGTAAAGGGCCCTCAAAAAAATGGAGCTGCTTCCCGTTCTCCCAGAACAGTGATTTTTGTGACCACAGTTACAAAAGCCTCCAGAGAGCCTGTTGTACACCAGACCAGTGGAGCCAGACGGCAGCTAGAGCCCATCATCATCCTCATCTGGTTGTAAGTAGGCAATCTAGTATATTATTCATGGCACTAATCTCTAATTTACCTCACATTAAAGGGACACTATAGTCCCCAGAACCACTGCAGCTTAATGTAGTGGTTCTGGTGTCTAGCCTGTCCCTGCAGGCCTTTTAATGTAAACACAGCGGCACTGCAGCACTGGTGTTAGTTAACATGGCAGATCATATGGGTGGGGCATTGTGATGTCCCATTGTGATGGGATTCGAGGGGGGTGGCAGCACTTTGGGCGGACTGGGGGGCCCAGACCTTAAGCTGTGTCAGGGGCCCCAACATTTCTGATGGCAGCCCTGACTGTATTAATTACTGTGGGTGTCTCCCTTGCATGGGAGAATTGTTTAAAAGCAGGCATGAGAAATTAAAACCTCAGTTCAGTTCTGTTCCTAATGCTGTGTCGTCCAGTCATTGGGAAACGTGTGGGATACTTTTGGATTACTTTACTAATCATGGATATTATTCTCTTTTTTTATTACTTGTTCCTTATTTGGATAACCAGCGGAAATAGGCTGTGAGAGACCAACTCTGCGCTACACATATGTTAGCCACTGTCCTGCTTCTATAAACTTTGGGTGCCTGCTTACCTGGGTTCCATTGGGAGCTGGCTGTGGCAGATGGGAGTTAGCTGGGTTTGGCTGAGGCTGGTCCAGGTCCCAGGCCCTCTCCCCCTTGCTCTCTGTCTTTTCCTCCCTTCCAGTAGCTCTGCCTCTGATTATAGCCCACTCTGCATTCACTAGTGTCCCTTTAATACTTACAGGGCATGTCTACAATATGTTTGGATAATAGCTTTAATCCTATGAAAGTCACAGGATACACAATTCATGCATGTACAGGTTTAAATAAACAACATGTACACATTTTTTAGGATATACCCGATCTTCAGTGGTGCTACAAAGCTACCTGCAGTCTCCAATATATATATATTTTTTTAATTAAACTATTTTCAAGTGGTTTGATCAGAAGCAGAGAACTCCCGTGTATCCAAAATCCCTCCCCTGCCGGGTGTGGGTAATTTAAGATTCTTTACATGGTCTGGGGGGTGTTGGTAGCTGCAGGCAGGTCAACTAAACAGTGCTTTTAATGGAAACTGTCAAGGCATGTGTTTTTTTTTTTATTAATTCATTTATCTTGTGCATTATTTTAAAATGATTTATCTATAGAATGTTGTCAGGTGACCATGTAGAATTAAGATGGCAGGTCTGGCTCAGATTTTATTTTCCATGTCATGTTATGACTTTCTAATCCATGCTTGTTCTGTGCCGGAGTGACTTTTTAAAAAAAACCAAATAATATTCTATTTTTATCTAAATGAAACAAGGTGTGCTTTTCTTTGTGTGTCAAGAAAACAAATAAATAATGAAAAAGCTAAGTGTATACAATCCAGACTTTTCATCTCTGATATTTTTCCAGGACTTTCTTAGAACAACACTACATTGTAAAGAAGTAGACCCTGGGGCTAAATCTCCCCTATAGGGGTCATCAGATTTCCCATCAAGCTGTGCAAACATAAATCATGTTGAAAAGTCTAAAATGTATTTTATTTTCCTCTCTATGGTAAAAAGATCCAGAGCTGTCGCCTCCCAAGATGTGTAGTATTATGTTTACATATCCCTATATTTATGTATTTGTGAAGTGTGAAAAATTAAATGTAGAAATCCACCTCTTTACCCTGTAACTGGGTGCTTTCATTTTATTTCCATGTCAATCATTATTAAAAGGTAAGTCTTATGCATCTATCAATCAGCACAGAGAGAGCATGCAGAGGAGAAATTAAACAATGTTTCTATTTCTATTTGTACTCCTTTTCATTTGCAAAGTTTCCCCTGGCTTTTCATTGTCCAAACTGGATTATGATGCCATTTGTTAAATATTTTATACAAATTTTAAAAGATTTGAAAGAATTCTTAGAATCTCAAGAAAAAAAGATTAACACAAGTTATAGGGGATTTTAAATGTTTAACTCAATGGTGTTAATTCTAGATAAGTGATAGTTTCCCTTTAAAAGACCACCAAAGACTCCCAGACCTTTTCATCTCAATGAAGTCTGAGATTTTTTGAAACTGCAATGTTTAAAGGGGCTAGACATGTGCAATTCGTTTTGTTCTGAATGCAAATTCGGACATTCTTAGGGTTAGTGGTTGGGGTAGGTGTAGGGTTAAGGGTTCGGGTAGGGTCAGGGGTTTGGGGTAGGGTTAGGGTAGGTTTACCCTACCCCTAACCCTACCTCTAAACCTACCCTAACCCTACCCCAAACCTAACCCTACCCCTAACCCTACCTCTAAACCTACCCCTAACCCTAAACCAACCCTACCCTAACCCTACCCCAAAGCTAACCCTACCCCTAACCCTACCTCTAAACCTACCCCTAACCCTAAACCAACCCTACCCTAACCCTACCCCTAACCCTACACTTTCCCGAAGTAACAGACAAAAATACAGAGGAATAGTGTGTTAACAAGGCGCTTAATATAATATACAATAAATATAGACAGCAGCTACCACTATAAATAGGGACTCTCCACCCTATACATAAACATAAAGCATCAAGTGAACACTCAGTGAGGAATTGGCAGAAAACCACCCCTGGTGTACAAGTGGAGTGCTCAAATTATAATAAACTCACCCATATGGGTATATATACAAATGTATATGTAAACTTCAGAGACAGCGTGTCTAGAACAAATATAAATACAAAAAAAGATGGTGCAAGTAACGTCACAAGATAGATACAATAATTAAATGATCTATATGGATTCACTCACATGACTCTGAGCCCTCTAGGATAGGCTCAGATCACAACAGCAGATGTGTACTTCTGGCGACACCAAACTCAAAACAACTCTCTACCATGCATGCGCATTAGGTCTCCCCCGCCAGCTGATGTCGGCAGGGCGGAGCCTGACCCAGCGCCAAGGGACATTAGTGCTGGATTCAGGTAAGTGACTAAAGGGGAGGGGAGGCGTGAGGAAATGGGGATTGTAGGATTCTATAGTGCCAGAAAAATTGCTTTGTTTTCCTGGCACTATAGAATCCCTTTAAGTTGCAGGGTTAACCACACCTCTAGTGGCTATCATCCAGACAGCCACTAGAGGCGCTTCCGCAAGAGCAACTAAATAAGGTCATGTGACAAATGCAGCTCATAGGAAAGCAGTGAATTCCATTGTTTCTTTTGTGAAGTATTAGGAAGTATTAATATTGGTACTCAAATACTGGCTGAAGGAAGCTCTCATATACTGAAGGCAAGTCTGAGGTTTTCCTTTCAAAACTTGATGAAAGGATTATTATATTAAAAAAGTTTTGTGTTGACAGTTGTCTATTAAAAGTCTGATACACTCCTAATGATGTTGGGAGGAGGTGGCGTGACTTCCACTGCTCTCCCCCATGACTGCAGGGGAGTCTGGGAGAAAAGCAGAGGAAGTCACGCCCCCTCCCCCTAACCTTGTCAGGAGAGGCTGACTTCACTGACTGCAGGCTTCAGATCCTGTCGCAGACCTCTCTTGCCCAAGGTAAGCCTCAGGGAGGGGGGGAACACACGTTAGGTTATTTTTATTCCCCTCCTCAGCACCTGTCCCCCCTCCCTCAGCCCTGCCCATCCTCCCTCAGCCCCCATACCATCACTACAGCCACCATACCTTCACTACAGCCCCTTTCCTCCATTTGCAACCCATATCACCCACACCACAGCCCAGTGGCGTACATACCAGGGTCGCAGGGGTCGCGGCTGCGACCGGGCCCGGCCCACCAGGGGGCCCGGCCGCCCCTGCGACCCGGTATGTAGCCACAGGGCCAGCCTCTTCCCCTGGGGGGCCCAGGAGCCGGCCACCCCAGGGCCCCCCGAGGCTGGCCCTGCTGACCCCGGCGGGCAGGTGGCCGGTCGGGCGGGCGGGCAGGCGGGCGCGCGAGGGAGCACTCAGTGCTTCCTCTTCAGCTCCCTCGTGCACCGCACTGATACCAGAGCCGGAAGATGACGTCATCTTTCGGCTCCGGCATCCCTACGCGGCGCGCGAGGGAGCTGAAGAGGAAGCACTGAGTGCTCCCTCGCGCGCCCGCCTGCCTGCCCGCCCGACCGGCCACCCAGACTGCCCGCCCAGGAGCCCAGCAGCAGCACCACTGGACCCCAGGGAATCCCCCCAGCACTCCAAAAGGTAAGGAGGCTGGGGGGATTAAATTTTAAAAAAAAAACATGTTTGAGTGTGTTAGTGTTAGTGTGTGTGTGTGTGTGAGTGTTAGAGTGAGTGTTAGTGTGAGGGTTAGAGTGTGTGTGAGTGTTAGTGTGTGTGTGTGTGAGTGTTAGAGTGAGTGTAGAGTGAGTGTTAGTGTGAGTGTTAGTGTGAGGGTTAGAGTGTGTGTGAGTGTTAGTGTGTGTGTCTGCTAGTGAGTGTTAGTGTGAGTGTTAGAGTGAGAGTGTGTGTGTCTGCTAGTTAGTGTGAGTGTTAGTGTGTGTCTGCTAGTGAGTGTGAGTGTTAGTGTGTGTGAGTGTTAGAGTGAGTGTTAGTGTGTGTGTCTGCTAGTGAGTGTCAGTGAGTGTTACTGTGTGTGTCTTACTGAGTGTGTGTGTGTTAGTAAGTCTGTTTGATGTCTGTTAGTGAGTGTGTGTTTGTCAATGAGAGTGTATGTTTTGTAAGTGAGTGTGTATGTATGTCTGTCGCTGACTGTGTCTCTGTCAGTAAATGTGTGTGTCTGTTAGCTAGTGTGTATGCGTCTGTAAGTGTGTGTGTGTCTACAGCACTTACCTTTCTCCAGCGCCGGACTCCCTTGGCGCTGAGGATCCCTCAGCCTCTCAGCTCCGAATGCGACCGCGCACGCATTCATACCGCCCATAGGAAAGCATTACTCAATGCTTTCCTATGGACGTTCAGTGTGCTCCTCTAGCGGCTGTCAGTGAGACAGCCACTAGAGGCTGGATTAACCCTCAGTGAAACAGCTGCAGGGTTTCAGCTGCAGGGTTTCAGCTGCAGGGTTAAAACTAGAGGGACGTGACACCCAGACAACTTCATTGAGCTGATGTGATCTGGGTGTCTGTAGTGGTCCTTTAAAGGACCACTATAGTGCCAGGAAAACATACTAGTTTTCCTGGCACTATAGTGCCCTGAGGGTGCCCCCACCCTCAGGGACCCCCTACCGCCCGGCTCTGGAAAGGGGAAAAGGGGTAAAACTTACCTTTTTCCAGCTCTGGGCGGAGAGCTCTCCTACTCCGATCCTCCTCTACTCCTCCCCGTCGGCTGTATGTGCACACGCGGCAAGAACTGCGCGCGCATTCAGCCGGTCACATAGGAAAGCATTCATAATGCTTTCCTCTGGACGCTGGCGTGGTCTCACTGTGAAAATCACAGTGAGAGAACAGCCGCCAGAGGAAATAGGGGAAGGCTTAACCCATTCAGAAACATAGCAGTTTCTCTGAAACTGCTATGTTTATGAAAAAATGGGTTAACCCTAGCTGGACCTGGCACCCAGACCACTTCATTAAGTTGAAGTGGTCTGGGTGCCTAGAGTGGTCCTTTAAGTATGTGTGCATCTGCATGCACTGGCGTACATACCGCGGTCGCAGCCCTGTAACCTCTGCGACCAGGTGCCCACCGTCATGTGTTGCGGCCCGGCCCGCGCGCGGGAGGGGGGGCCCACGGATCAATTTTCGCACCGGGGCCCGATGGGTCATGTGTACGCCACTGCCACAGCCCCTTTCCCAAATTGTAGCCATCAACCTACTTCAGCCCCTATCCCACCACTACATTTCTTAAATCCCCAATTATAGCCCGTACCATCCACTACAGCCCCTGTCCCCCTACTACAGCCCATATCCCCCTACTACATCCCCTAACTTTTCAATTACAACCACTACAACCAGCTACAAGTGCTCTGGATCTGCCCCTGCTCTGTATGCATGTATCTGTATGACTGTGTCTGTATGACAGTGTCTGAATGTCTCTGTGTGTGTCTATGTCAGTGTTTGTATGACATTGCACCTTAATTTGTAGATTGTTTGGCTGTGTGCATGTATTTGTTTGATTGTGTGCCTGCATATCTCTGTGACTGAGTGCCTGTATGGTTGTGTGTTGCTATATATCTAAGTCTATATCGCATAGACAAATACAAAAAATGTGCTGAGGGGAGAGAGCCACAGAAATGGCTAGGGTGGAGAAAGAGACACACAAAAAGAATGGGGGGGGGGGAGGAGACACACAAAGGGGCATGGGAAAGATACACAAGGGGGGTTATAAGTGACACACGAGAGGGTGTAAGACATAGTAAAGGGGGGATAAAATACATAAGATGCTGTCTAATCTGTAGACAGGTCTCTATATTGCGGCAGGAGATTGTATTTTTGAAGTCTGAGATTTGTAAATTATCCGGTAAACAAACTCAGGGTGGAACTGTTGCAAAGCCACTGCTGCAGAGACGTACTAGGAATGGCAGATGGATTACTGTAGGATCTGGTAAACTTAGAGTTGTGGATAAAAGGAATATTGCACAGTCTGTTGCTCTACATAATTAATTTTCAGCACTTTCAGAGTGTAATGATGTTATGGAGACAGGCTCAGGCACTGAGTGTAGTGGTGTTGTGGAGACAGGCTCAAGCACTGAGTTTAGTGGTGTTGTGGAGACAGGCTCAAGCACTGAGTGTAGCGGTGTTGTGGAGACAGGCTCAAGCACCGAGTGTAGTGGTGTTGTGGAGACAGGCTCAGGCACTGAGTGTAGTGGTGTTGTGGAGACATTCTCAGGCACCGAGTGTAGTGGTATTATAGAGGCAGGCTTGGAGACTATGGTGAGGCCTGATAGAAAGAAGTTGTTGTTGGCAGTGGCGTACAATCCATGGGGCCCCGGTCCCCTAATCCGTGCCCCCATCCCCCCTGACACATACATACAGACACACACAAACATACACACAGATAGACACACACACATACATGCACCCCTCGACAGACACATACTGTGACGAGACCAATCTCGCCAGATTGCATTGGAGAAACCTGGTTGCTCGCCTGTTGCCTTTGGACTATGGCCGTATGTTAAAAGCCTTCTTTTCCCCTGCAGAAAAGGCTTATTTAACCGGATGCCTGTTCATTCTGTAGTTTAAACTGTATGAACAGCATTACCCCAGATAGCCATCCCGTGGAGTCTATTCGTATGGAGAACAGACTTTGTGAACACTTTAACTCCAAGGCGATTGGACTGTGTGCATAGGATCTGAGCGCTATTAATATTTTTGTTCAGTATTTACAGATGAAAATGAAGAAAAGGGGACAAGTAATTTGTTATATGTGAATT